GATAGCATGCGCAACAACAGCAATCGCGACGCCATTTCCATGCAATGCAATGCCATCATGAGTCGGAACAAAAGTGTTGAAAGATAAAAGATAAAAAAGGGCCACTGCACGGTGCAGACATGGTTGCCAGCTCTATCTTGCTGGATGGGCTGGATAGGGTCCGTGCTGGTGGAGGTGTGGAGGTGCGGGCATAGAAGAATGATGATATACGACGTGTTTATCCTGCGGAGGATAGGCTTCGAACATGACTCGTCTTTGTGGAGCTTCAGTCCTGAGCGGACTTGGCTCTAGAGTCCCCACGGGAAAGCGCTGCGAATTGTTTGGACTGCTCATGAAGAGCAACGTGTCGACCGCGTCCTTTTCTGCTTGTTGACTGGGCATACGAAGGATTCCTGCTCTGGGTGTCGCTGGCGATCGCATGTCCCCACTTAAGTCACTGTAGTATTTCCTTTGGCCTGTTGCTAGAAGAGGAGGGGGAATATGTGAGACTGTAGACCGGCGTCTTCGTGAGTTCTGGAATGTGGGAGCTGGAGCAAGGCCATGGCCATGGCTAGGCCCGTGACCATGGTGGGCACCAGTAATGGAGATGAGGTTTGCGGCAGCATGCATTGCAGGACGGGTAGCCGGTGTCCAGTACGCTATAGAGTGTTAGGAATGCTTTGGGTAAAGAGCAAGGAGACTGACGGCCTGGTGTTCCCACATGTGATCGCGTGGGATCAGAGACCGGTGACATAATCATCTGATCAGAAATATCCGAGACGCCGCTCGGTCTCCGTCGTCGTTCGCTATCGGCAGGCGAGTCGAATGCTAAGAAATCGCTTCTGCCAGGAGCAGAGTTGGGCGATCCGCGCTGCGATTGACTTTCTTCCAATTCTTCGAGCGACTGTTTCTCCCAGCCGTTCTGGACCTTGACCATAGCGTACGAAAGGCGCGTCTTGAGCTGGGCAGATAGCTGCATTCGCGTCAGCATTCAGTAACACGAGCTTGATGCAAGAGGGCGCACCTCTCCAATGCGAGTGCCCGAGTGTGTATCCATGCTCTTGTTTCTCTTGTGGGCGGCCATGGGTCTGCAGGTAGAAGGCGTCGCGAGGGCCACACCAGCAGCCTTGACAGAGCCGTCTGCGCTTCTTTTGGAGCCCTGGGTAGCTGGGGAGCCTAGTGGTTTTGGACTGAGTGCCTTGTCACCGGCGCGCGACTCTTTGGCAACGGCAGTGTCGACGCGCGGTGCGGCCCACGCGTCGCCACGAGATTGGGGTGGGTGTTTGAGCATTGGGGTTGGTGTGTCGGTGTGTTTGGTGTGGCTCTCAGCATTGGTTAACGAAGGGGCGGTACTCTCGGTCTCCGTAGTCGTGGAAGTTGAGAGGGTTCTCGACGAGGAAGCCAGGGCGGGAGCGGAAAAGGTGCTGGACTGGGCCGAGTGGACTGTTTCTTGCGAGGCCCGCATGTCTGTCTGGTGCGGACTAATAATGGATGGTGCAGGGGCAGAATCGGGGGCCTCTAGTGGCGCAATGGACATGTGAGAACCACGGTAACGGGCAGGTGGGCTTGGGGGATGTCAAGACTTACGATGAAGCATCATGGGCCGACAGCGGGGTAGGAGAAACAGTAGGAGCAGGAATAGTAGGAGTGGCAGCTAGTGATTGGAAACAAGCGTTGGGAATGGAGTCAAAAATGCAATGGCTGGACAAGAAGGGTTATCCGGTGCAAAGTCGAGGGTACCAAAGCGTGGCAGTGGGAGTGGGTGGTGGAGAGGGAGTAGTGGTGGTGGGAGACGTGAGTGTGCTTTACGCGGTAGAACGCGATCGCAAGCCAGATAATTAGTGGACTCGCAGCCCGTTGGGAAGCCGCACCGATGATGGTCGCCGATACAGAATCAGTCGAGAAACAAGGCCGGGGGATTTGCGAGGCTTCAAGGCGCGTTCTGTACAGAGCGTAAGGGCAAAACGGGAGATTTTATCGTGGGCTTTGGACTTGGTGAAGCCGCGCGAGAGGCTTTCGAACGCACGCGTGGAAAACATTTTGGGAATAGCGCATTGCCACACTTTGCACTAAACGGCAAAGCACGTATTAATAGGCGGTAAAAGCGCATGCGCCCAACGCTGCCGAACGGCTGGTCTTAGCAGAGTTTTCGGGGTAAGCCTGACATGCATGTGTGCAGACGGATCCTATAGTATTTATGGCTTGCATATTTACTTTTCCGTCATTACTACATACATCCATCCATCCATCCATCCATCCATCCGTACTAGATACGTAGGGTGCAAGTCACTTGCCACGGCCCTATAACGTAAGCTTCCGATAGCGCGTATTGGCTCCGTGATCACGATCCAAAAGCGCGGTATTAATTACTCCGCTTACTTGGTACGCGTCCAATTTCCTCGACTGGACTGCAAGCCGGACACGCCCATAGGACAGAAAAATACACGGCACCTAAAATCTACACTCGCAACAAAACATTGCATTACAGTCAACAAAAAAAATCATGCAAATTAAATGACACGATATGGTGAGTTCAACAAAAAAACACAAACGAGACAGGAGAAAAGACGAACAAATCATTGATTCAGTCACGACATTAACAAACATTGTCTAACTACTCAACTCCTCATTCGTACCCAAACTCCTACGAGCTGCGGTTGTAGTAATCCCACTTGGGCAGCTTCATCGTACCATGTTCGTTCAGATGCCTGTGCATATCGAAGCTGTTCCACAACAGGTGAGGCTCATGGCCCCATCCCTTCCTCAGACACTCAAACTCCGCCTTGTTGAAGTAGTCCTCCAAAATAGGAACGTAGTCGGGGTGCGCGCACTTCTTGATAATAACCCGGGCACGCTCCCTGGGCGACAGCCCGCGCACATCAGCAAGGCCTTGCTCAGTCACAACAACGTCGAGGTCATGCTCCGTCTGGTCAATGTGGGTGCACATGGGCACAATGCAAGACACGCCCGTAGGGTCCGTCTTTGACGGGCGAGTCGATGGTGTATGCATAATCGAGTACTTGGCAGAACGCAGGAAATCTGCAGAGCCTCCGAGACCGTTGAGCATGCGGCTGCCCATGACGCAGGTAGAGTTGGCGTGTGCGTAAATATCCACCTCTACAGGCGTGTTCATGCCAATGACACCAAGACGTCGGATAATCTCAGGGCTGTTGGATACTTGCTGGGAGCGCAGCAAAAGCTTGGGTGCATACTGCTCCCAGCCCTTGTAGAAACGATCAAAACCATCGGGCGAGAAACGGATTGACGTAGCCGTTGCAAAGTCGAGGTTTCCAGAGTCGAAAAGATCCAGGAAAGAGTCTTGAAGAACCTCAGTCCATACCTTAAGGTTTTTGAAGTTTGCACCGCCAGACTACACGTGTTAGCTCATCATATACCAAGCAAAGCATGTGAAAAACCTACAGCAAGACCACCAACAACAGCATTGGCAATGTTTCCAATCCCCGACTGAAGGGGCAATAAGTTCTCAGGCAGGCGGCCATGGCTGACCTCATGCTTCAAAAACTCAATCAGGTTCGCAGCAATGGCCCTCGAGGTTTCATCCTCGGCAGCATTAGGCTGTGTCTGATCTGGGTAGTCGCTCTCCACAATGGCAACCACCTTTTCGGGGTCAACAGGAATGTGGGGTGTGCCGATGCGGTCTTCAGGAGACATGATCAGGTAAGGCTTGCGGCGTGGTGGGAGGTCAGTCATGGTAATGTCATGTAGACCCTCAAACGAAGGAGCGGCAGTGTTGACTTCGATGATAATCTTGTCGGCCATTTGAATAAGCTCGGGCGAGGCGCCTACACTGGCGCCAGGAATAATGCCACCGTCCTCAGTAATTGCAGACGCTTCAACAATAGTCACGTCCAACTTGTTCTGAGGCTTATTCAGTGTGTAGAAGCTTGTCCAGTCAGTACTGTCCATTCATTCAGGCGGTCTTGCATTCGTCTACTTACCCGTACATCAGATCAACAGGAAACATACTCAAATGTTTGTCGAAGAATTTGATGTTACCGTTGTTAATTCCTTTTGCGATTTCCTTGCCCACTTGATGCGGAGACCGGCGCTCAATCATATTGAGTCGCGCCCATCGATTCTCTGTCTCGGCGCCTGACGAAGCACCGACGAAGAGATTGTACTTCATCTGACCCTGAAGATTGTTCTTCTCAACATGGTCCGCCAGCGCCGTGGGGATTTTCCTGCAATCATGTTAGTTGACGGAATGAGCAATCGTAAAAGCGAAGCATGAATCCAGAATAACGCATCGCCAACAGCAATCATAGCCACAACGGCCTCATGAGTCGTCCTGACTAGCCACCATGACATGACCCATGCATATGTGGAATTGTGGAGTCGGAGTTAACTCGGCTTTGGTCACTTGCCAAACTTCCGTTCCCCCTCGGAACTACGGGTATGTGTTTACGGACTCCCAACACAATACCCAAGTTTCTGATGCTTCTCAAGGGGTTAAGGCCCTCGCCATATGACCGCTCGTGTAGCTGAAGAAAAAAAGATAAACAAACTTACTTTGGGTACCCCACGCCTGTGAAGCCACTCCACCCAATGTATGCTCCATTGGGAAAGTGGTGTAGTAAATCCTCCGCTTTGGCAAGCTTCTTGAGATAACTCGGCCTCCGAACTCGACTCTTTAATGCTGCTGAGACGGACATATTCGACCTTGTGTTTTGAGTTCAGGTGTGGTGACGATGCTGGGATTACGTAGAGCTTATCGATAAGTAAAGCCTTTGAAGTGATCTGAAAAGTAAACAGCTCAGCGCGAGCAACAAGATGAAAGATGAGAGAGTGGAGAGGAGCCGCGACGGGCGAAACTTGAACCAAAAGCTCTGGGGGAGTCTGAGAATTTAAACTATGGAAAGGCCAAGACTAACTCCTTTTGAGCAGCACTGGCGTAGAGTGTCGCTGTGGGCTGATGCTCATCGACCCACCCAAGCATGACGTCTGCCGTAAAACCCCGGTCCAAGGAGAGGGGCGCACACAGAGATTCCAAACGATTGGAGGAGAGGCTGCATTTTATGCATGATGTGCAGCTTCGCAGGATCAGATAAGTACAGTAAGTGTTGAGTACCCTTCGGGCTTAGAGTACATTGACTGGTATAAGTACGGGGGATTTGGGGTCTTAGCGTTCCTGCCTATGAGCCGGTCGAACCCTCCTTCCTGAATTCACGATATAGCAGGTACAATCTGTGGAAAACAAAGAGGCCACTAGTCTCAATCCTGCATTCCTATCTGAAAAACTACCCAGCGATCCTGCGCTGCATAGGCTAATCAGATCAGACCGATATGCTCAGTCACCTTTACTCAGACAAACTAATAATTGGTACCTTGACCAAACAGACTTACATACTACAACTCCATAACATCCTGTACATCTCCAGTTAAACCAGCCTGTTCTGCGCTTCGAGGAGAAAAGTAAGTCTTGAAGACATCCTTCAAAACCTTGTCGCCCAAGTTCATGTGGCCACCTTTGGTGGTCTTGAAATGCAGACCACCCTTTTGATCCAGCTTCTTCAATCCAATCCAGTCCTCTTTGTAAATCTCACGATCCCTCAGCTCTGTTACCTCGTTGCTGGTAAGGTTTGTGTATGCAAACCAGCCGCTCTCCTTCGGTATGACTGTTGTGTCGTCCTCGAACACGTACATGACAAAGTTATCCAGTGCCGCAAGATTCTTTGCATACGCCGGGTTCTTCAGCGCGCGCTCGTTGTTGATATCTGCAAGAAAATTCGACGCCTCGAGGTACTCGTCGGTCGGCTCGCCGGTGGTTTCGTTTGTGGCTTTGAAGTACTGTGCTGGGACAAGATGTCCTTGAACCCAGGAACCCCAGGTGTTTGCCTTGAGTAATCCAATATATCCTTTGCATAACCAATCTCCATCTTTGCAGAGCTGATACTTTGCAATACCGTTGTGCTGGCTTCCAAAGGTCACCAGATTCTTGATGTTGATGCGATCTCCGCATCTTTCCACCAAGCCCCGAAGAAACTGTCCGCCTTGTGAGAAGCCCATCGCGTTGAGGCCTGGCGCTTGCGACAAGACTTCATGTTCCAGGATGTCGTCGCAAACTTGAGCAATCTGCTCAGTCACATTGCCCAAAAATGTTGCAGTTCGGTCGCTTCCAGGATCTTCGTCGAGTCGGATGTAATAAACATAAGTGCCCGGAACTGTCTCGTTTGCGAGTTCGCCGACGCTTTGCAGACCATCTGCAGCGTAGTTGTCGCCTAGGCCGTGCCAGATAAGCAGTGGTAAGGGTTTAGATTCGCTATGCGCAGAGGGTAGCGCTAAGGCTCGCGCCACTAGTAGTAAGGTGGAAATAGGGAGTAAGTGCAGCATTGCAAAATGTGTGAGAGGAGAAGTATCGTAGCACCGTGGTTGCGAGGCGTGCGACACCTGAGACGCGTCGGATGACGTCTGCATCCAGCCGAGGCCGCTTCAGCCGGATATGGTCAAAGCGTATGTATACTACCACAGCTCATCATGCAGTCACTCTATACGCTGTTCAAGCGACGGACCCTGAACGGATTTTCTAACGCGTTGCGGTGCAAACAGGATCACTTACATGGTATATTCTTGAGATATCACAGTCATGTGTACGAAGTACTGACGAAATGTATATGATATCTATAGCTACCTTGATCAACACAACATTCTTCCCTGTGACGCAAAAATAATCAATTGTCTTCAGCTTTGGCAAAAGAGGGCTCTTGAGCTACGTGTTCCCAAAATAGGAGATCAGAAAGGAGATAAATGAGGTAACCCGACTTTCTTATTGCTTCGCGAATTATCGAGAGTTATAATTCTTGAGTAGGAGGCTCCGCCTGAAGGACTTCTAATGTATTGAAAGTTGTGCTTTACTAAATGACCTAATTACACCGAGCCCGATCACCTGTACTAGGGGAGCAATTATTTCTGTCTTTCGTACATGGGGTAGTCTAACTAATTAGGTTCGTCGTCGAACTGTAAGCATAAATAATTTACTTACAGAAAGGCAGTACAGGTCTTTTGATGAGTCCGTGTCGCTGTATCGACATAACCCATACAGCGTGAACGTCCCTGGAGGACTAAGACAAAACTGTCACAAGGTTAATTAAATACAACGTGCAAGGTAAGATAGAATAACGTACCCAGGCGGTCACAGAAGTACAGAAAAGAGGTGCCAACGCTAAGGTGATATGAAGCTTCATGTTTGTTTTCCTGATATCCTTTGCTTATATCTCCAGAGTTGTGTGATGAGAAATTGATGAAAGAGGTGACTAGAAACAAACTCCAATGTGTGTTCCTGCGTACTATTTATATCTCCCAGGAACATTAAAGTAACTAAGCCAAATTTGCAACCGTGATATTTGCCGACAGGTGGAGATGTAGTGCGGTCTGACACATACAGCCGAACATGCAGGGGTCTCAACCAGGTGTATTGGGACTATTTTGCAGCCAGCTCAGAATACATTAGTCTTAAATTATTGGTATTTCACTGCTGAATAGCTATTCAATGGTTTAATGGTGGGGAGACGCCTATGGTATAGGTAACAGACAAATCTAGCATTCATTACTTCGACAAGGACCCGCGCGTGTTCCGCCGTGTTTGGCAGACCGCCTTGTGTATATTTCTATTATAATAAACACGAAAAACTGAACTACGTAACTACAGCCTTATACTACATAAAGATACTATTAAAATAAAGTTAAATCGTGCTAGAATCTAACCCTATCTTTCTTTTTCCTATACGACGATTATCAGACGTAAAAATAGGAGGATAAAGGTGATCCTTTTTGTCTGTACGTAGGTGAATAGGGTTATCGGAAAATCTATATCTCTATAGACTTTTAAGAATAGTTAGTATTACCCTTTTATTACTCTATAATACCTTATTAAAGGAAAAATGTAACTAATAAGTAGTCTTTTACACCTATCTCTAGTGCACCGTTTGTAGCGGAGGTGAGCACCAATGCCCACTAAGTCAATACTACGTGACAACCACTCGGCCGCAGCCAACCCACCAGCAAAAGGTAAGCACGAGAATAATCTGAACTGATTATTCTAGTGTAGTATAATATATATAGGCATGTAACTCCGTTACACCGTTATCTTAAGTATTTTGTAATACGTGTTAGTAGTATTATTCTCTTAGTAACTTACTCTAAATCGCGTTGGCGCACTGTACTAGCTATGTAAGATATGCAAAAGTTTAGTACACTTACCCCCCAAATAATAAAACTTGGCCCACAGGCATGGCATAATATATAAAGGTAATCCCGAGGTTGTGATGTAGCGCTGATTATGTGGCGAGGTGGAGCCGAAATTATATTGATCCCAGTAATCTGACATTATATTTTGAAACTTACCTGGTCAATGTTATCCTGACTTCATATACATAGAAGTAAGCTTACATAGTTGAGACACCAGCTCTACCTAACAGGCTCTAGGCAATCTATTGAGATTAGGAAACTAATAAGTCACAAACCATGGGACTAGGAAATGCGATATCTTTCAAAATGCATCATCTCTGTAATCGTAGATTTGATCGTTGCCACACATCAACGTCCATCTGACCGGATCTGTGGCCAAACATCTTGTTACAGCCGATAATACCACCGAGGACTAGTTCAAGGATCAGCCTCACTAGACCTAACCCTGTGACAGACTGAACTGTCACGATACTCAGAAATGAGGCCTAGGAAAGCTAACCCTCGAGCTAGAGAAGGTATAGTCACGTGCATAGAGTATATAGTCCTTTCCGTACCTTGGATATCTCCTCAAGGATTCATCTCAATTCACTTCGTCTGATATACTTTATGCTTATCTGCAAAACACCTCACAGGAATACTCTTTGGTGGAGCTTCTCGATAGAATTTGCTTTGCGCACCCTACGGCTCTCCAAGAAAGGAAATCCACAACAGCGTAAGTAGATAGTGCGATGGCGCTTTACCGAATATGTATGATCTCGCTACACCCAGCATTGCTCTTGCCATAGCGCTCCTTGAACGTGATTTATGATTGCGACTTTGTAACTCGAAATAAATGAGTTACTGGACATAATCGAAGTATTTAAGTGAGTTACCTTACTCAAGCACGCCGGTATATATCACGTGACTGGATCTTTGCAGTAAGAAACTAAAGCCAAAGCTGGAAATAGATTCCTTTGAACGCTGTTTAGTGCTCTGCATGCAGTGTCGCATACATGTGTGCATCAACAAGAAACTAAGACCAATACTAACAGTGCACAGAAGAAGGAAAAGTATAGATCGACTGCCCCTGTAGTTGCCCCACTGCGACGACCCTTGGCAAAATGTAGTGTCAACCCTGTCGTGTGTTTTTGGTTTGGGGCGCGCAGAAAGTTGCTGGTTCATGGTCTGTGCACAAGAACCGCCAAGCCTTCTCGCAAAAAGTTCAGCCAAATTTCCAGCACAATTTCTAGCACAACCATACAATATCACAATGGCGAAATCAACAGCTGTGACCAAGAAGACTGAGAAGGCGACCGAGGCGCCCCTCACTACCAAACCTGTGAATGGCACACCCTACCAGCTGGACCCGTCGCAAGTCGAGCGCGCGGCGAAAGCGCTCGTTGCGCACATGAAGAAGCATGTGGAAGAGAAGCAGGAGAAAGCACCAACAAAGAGTTTGGCTGCGGATGAGGATGGCGCGGAGGAGGTTGATGAGCCCATATTTCTCAGTCTTTCGACAAAAAAGCAGATTGCCAATACGAAAAGCATGAAGCCTGTCGCCATGTATGGTCGCACATCTTTTATAGCATAGAGCACAACTGACAGTACCTACAGCAAGCTCCCTCACCCTATCATTGCCAGCGACGTCCGAGTGTGCATTTTCACCAAAGATCCGCAAAGAGCATACAAGGATCTCGTAGCATCCGATGCCTTCCCTGCCGCACTCCGCGCAAAGGTGCAGCGCGTCCTCGGCGTAGAAAAGCTCAAGAAGCGATACAAGGCATTTGAACAGAAGCGTGCACTGCTTGCAGAGTATGATGTCTTCCTGGTCGACGATCGTGTTATCAAAATTGTCGCAGAGTTTTTGGGCAAGGTTTTCTACAAGAGCAAGTCGAAGCGGCCAATTCCTATCCGCCTCACCGCTGGCGCATACATTGACAAGAGCGCAAAGAAGGATTCCAAGGAATCAAAGGATTTGGTGGGAACACCTCAGGGTGTAGCAAAAGAAATCGAATCCGCTCTGAACTCGACTTACCTGAGCATGAGCCCGTCCGCAAACACCTCGATCAAGGTCGCCAACCTCTTCATGACGCCACAACAAATTGCCGAGAACACCGCCGCGGTAGTATCCGAGGTTGTGGACAAGCACGTCGGTCAGGGTTGGCGCAACATCCGTAGTCTCCATGTCAAGGGCCCAGCGACAAAAGCACTGCCCATCTGGCTTGCCGAAGAGCTGTGGGTGGAGGACAGCCAGGTTCGGGACGGACCGTACCAAGGCACAATTACAGAGGGTACTGCCAAAGGAAAGTCGGCAGAACGCAAGCGAAAGTGGGACGAGTGGGAAGAGGAGCTGTTGGACGATGAAGTGTTTGCGGCGAAACAGGCCAGGAGGGAGGCCAAGAAAAACAAGAAGTCTGAGAAGAAGAGCTCGATCAGTAAAGAGAAGAGGAAGGCGTTGAAGCAAGACGTGCTCAAGTCGGTACAGACGCCTCTGATTGCTAGTTGAGTTTTGTTACAAGCATCACTGCATGATACGGCGCATCTGGTATTGGCGTTCAGGAGTCCAAAAGATGAGCATTTATGTAATGGTATACTTGGGCGCTCCTGAACAAAAATGGAATGGTTCTGCCCAAGAGAAAAGAAAAACAGTTGTATAGCAATCAATACAGGCAATGCAAGAGTAAGGACGTCTGTAACCAAAGTGAAGCTGTAGGGTCAAAAGATGCAAGCACCTATATAGACGCCTTGTATGATGAGCTCCGCCACTTGGTTTTTTTTCTAATCACTTGGTATTTAGCACATCAGCCCCTCCAGACTTCTGATACAAATGAATCGCAATCGGTGTCGTTGTAATAGTTGTTTGCTACATTGCTGTTGTTGTAAAAATGGTCAATGGCGAAGGTGTGTTGAAGAGAAGCAAGTCGCTGTCAACGCCGCCCTTAGAATACCCCAGATACCGCAGAACAAAGCTATATACGAGTGCACCTAGGTACATGTATACGTAGGTTGAGTTAGATAGTAGAGGACACTAAGCAAATCAAAAGAGTGTATGATATACTACCTGACTATGTGGAGAAGCCATGGCGCTAGTACTAGTTAGGAAGTGAAATTGATGGCACGTGCTTGCTATAGGGGAATAATTGTATGATTTTCGTAATTGCCCTGGTAACATGGATTTTTGTTCAATCTCGTCTCATAGTCTTCTTATTCACAGGTGCCTCTATTAACCAAGCGATCTGCAAGGCACTCCCTTCAATTGGAAGAGGGGGGTTTACAGGCTTCTAGATTCACTGATTCGCAGACACGGGGGCTCACGTTACCGAAGGATCGCTCGAATCCGGCTACCTTGATTGATTGATTTGAGCCGAAACGCTGCCACCGTGCACTCTCGCCTGGCCACCACCATTTCCACTGAACGCGTCTCTGCTCCACTTTGGGCGTGGAAGTGTTTGCAGTCGCGTTTAGCTGCGTCAAATGCTGCACAGAGTTTTTCTTTTACCTGCATGTCGATCGCGTGCGTGTTCGTGCCTGCGCAAGGACCGCGGACTATATACTGTAGTGAGCATGAGATGTGTAATTTTTCGTTACGTTGCAATGATTGTGTGCGTGTCAAATGCCCGGTAAGCGTGCTTCGTATGCTGTAATTGTGGAGTGACAAGTGGGATGGGGCTCCAGCGCAGAGGCAAACCAAGTTGTAGAGACATTCGGGAGGCAGTTGTACATGCATCCATACATGCGCATATATATACCTCCGTGACACAATTCCGTAGTAACCAAGTGCTGCAAACATACAGAAGATAAAATGAATTGCTCTACCTTTGGCAAGATGATGCAGGAGGCATATTGCGAGGCTGGGGGCTGGTGCTCAACGTGGTCCGAGCTTTAGGTAGTCGCGACTTGCACGATTCTCCGCGTTACTGCTTAGTCTCGTCATTGAATGGCTTTTCTCCTCTCTTCATAACCGGCTTTTTTCTCTCTTTCCCACAGACTACCTCGAGGCTACCGTTGCGTCTTCGACAGCCCCTTCTGTACCCGCCGTCACCACCCCCTCTCGGCTGTCACGTCTCCGACTAGTCACGTCTATATTACCCCCATATAGGCGTCGACACGCTGTCTCACGTTCCAGGAGCTGAGCA